GGAATCCCGTTTCAGAAACCCTAGTAGGAAGGTCTCCTAAAACCAGATGTTTGAATTGCTCTATAAAAGGAGGTTGAACCCATTTTTTCTATTAGGAGAAGAAAATCTATTCTACTCAAAATGGAACATTTATTACAGTACCACTTAATTGTTCACTTCAAAAACTGTAAAAGCAACAATTATTGGAAGTAGGGTTATTTCTTGGGGATTGTGATGATAATTTACAGTTTGGTTTAATGAATTCTGGTAAAATTTTTATCTGCTTTATCACATAAAAATTAAAATTGTGACAATGGTGCTTTGCCAAGGCAATGGCAAAATTTGCTTTATCAGTATTTGTTTTAAGGCAAGTCAACTGTATTGTCAAGACATTGCCCTGGTTGAGAAATGCTACTCTACATTATGTTTGGTCTGAAATAGACTATCATGTTGATATTTCCAAGATCACAGAAGGAAGCCACATGCTACATTAAACATCTGTAGTGCATTAAAAACTTGTGGTTACAATCTTTCAATTGGTGTACTGTTATTGGCTGTACTCCATTGCATTAATGAATCAGGTCTGGAATTAATCCTGTATCTAGTTTAAAAAACAGCTCATTTGAGAATAAAATCTTGGGAAATATTAGTACAGTACCATAACAAAGCAAAACTCTAAAATTCAAAATTGGTCATCTTTATCAATTCATCTTTGTCTATTCTCTTAAGAAAATAATTATTAAATGTAATAATACATAATTTGATAATGGAAACTGAAATTTCTATTTAAAATTTTTTAACAGTATATCAAGAAGAATAGAGACAGTATATATTACAGGATTTTTCATAAGTCACATACCATAGATTGTGCAGAGAAGCATCAGGTGATTGTAAGCAAAGCATCAGAGGCAAGTATATAGTATATTAGTTATATGATTCATCATTTCAGATCTACAATACTGTTAAATAGAAATTAATTGCACAAAATTCATGTTTATGGTCAAATCACTATCAACAAATGTAGCCCAGCTGTATAGTTATGTAACTTACAACTAAATATGTTGTGAGAATTGAACTTGTTCTATTTAATACATGAAACATTACTAGTTATTTTTTATTATTGCTGTGTTTAATTTTATTTAAATAAAACTAAAAACAACATTAAAAACAATCAGTAATGTGTTATGTTCTTGCTATCATATGCATATTGAATATTAAAACAAACAAGTTCAATCCTCACAACATGCTGATTAGTTACAGAACTATGCAGCTGGGTCTACATTAGTTGAAAGTAATTCAACCACACATATGAATTTTGTGCATTTAATTTCTGTTTGTCAGTATTTGTAGACCCGAAATAATTCAAATATATCCAGTACACTACATACTTGCCTCTGATGCTTCTCCTCACAATCTTGTAAGGCAAGTGACTTATGAAAAACACTGTATATAAACAGATCTTTTGTGAGCACCCCATGATGTCTAATCACAGATCTGTTATCTAGTGCAGTGTTCTTTAACCTTGGGGCCACAAAAATTTCCTATCATTGTGAGACTCGGGACAAGTCTGAAACCTCACTAAAATTTGTATTAAAAAAATTTTTTGAAAGAAAAAACAAAACAAGCTAGAAATAGTTTTTGTATGAAAATGTGATGCGAACTATAAACAATAGAAGAATGTAAGTCCTAAGATCAACCATCTCTGGTTAGGATTGAATTAAATATCAATTTTGATCTCTCCTGTGATCTAAGTTGCGTTCTCATTACACATAGTAATGAGTGATCAATCACTTGGAAAGAAAGAATAAGTGACCAATTGAAATAAGCAATCAAGGATGGAAATTAATAAAAACCACAAATTTCAAGGACAAAGTGTGGATTTCTGTCATTTTGTACCATCCAAAGCAACCCATGCATGCCTATTGTCTTTGTGTGCCATCGTTCCTGTCTGTGCTTCCAATCATCCTTTGTCTGCCAGACTACTCACGACACTGCTCCAGGATCTCAATGACTCAACAAGGTTCCAACAGCTACAAATTAGCATTTGTGGACTCTCTATTGATTTGTTATTCATCAGAAGGAGCATCTCCCAAAACACCTCATAAGCC